GGCAGGTGCAGGTGCAGGTCGTGTGCGAAGCTCCGGTGCATCATGATGTTGTTGTGTGTGATAGTACCCGATTCTCTCTAGTGTTTGCTGCTATGCGAATGCTCACGTATCTTCGTTTCGTGTTTTCTGTTTTGGTCAGTCCTCCCATCCACGCCCGTCATGACCACGGTACGCACGCACGCATGTCTATACTATGTATTGTCTAGTTTCTCCTCGTGCAAGGAAGATCATCCCGCTTTTTTTCTAATAGCCACAACGACCTCAATAGTGCTGCCCGTTTGCGACGTCTTTCTATTACCTTGTAGGTGCGTTACGCACCTCCTGCTCAGACAGATCTCGAAGGTGCGAAACGGTCGCCTGCGATGTATGATGCCCGTGGGCAGTTCAGCATGGCGACTATCAAAACGTTCCAATAATATGCGGCAGTCGTCGACGTCGTAGACAAACGCACACGACACGTTGACCCCGACCATGACAGCCAACTCGAGCGCAATCAACTGCATTAATCCAATACAACAACCGAACAGCAAAGATACACCGTGGTAGAACGCACAACTCATTCACTTCTTCGCCTTACCCTTCGCCTTCGCCTTACCCTTGCCCGCCTTCGGCGCCACGATCAGCGTATCATGCTCCACGTCATCCGAGGCCTCCTCCGACCCTTCCGGAGTCTCCTCGATCTCTTCGTCCACCTGACAACCGAATGAATGAGTTCCCAGCGCAACAACTTTGACAGACGCGGGACGGGACTTACCTCCAGCGCCTCCTCAAGGTCGGGCAGAGGGCCCGAGACGGCGACCTTCTTGGGGACTTTGCCCAGCTCGAAGGCCTTGTGAAAGGGTATCGGGTGGTCTTTGGAATTGTATCTGTGTGTGAAAGCCAATCAGAATCGTCGTACGTTTGCATGATACTGTGAACGTACTTCCTCGTGAAGGCCGTCTTGGTGGCCGTCGGGATCTTCTTCAGGACCAGCGCATCCTTGTGCTCGTCCAGACCGAGCTCGACGATGGTGTCCCACTCCTCGCGCGAGAGGAAGTAGTCGTCCATCCACTCAATCACGTCGTCGATTGCATTCTGAGAAGCGATCAACCAGACATTCTTCCGTATCAGACAAAACAACCTACCGCGCCCTTGTCCATGAGCGGCTGGACAATGTGCGGGAACAGTGCCGGCACGTATGATTGTCGGATATCGGGCCTGTCGCCCGAGATCTTGAGGCGCATGCGAGCTTGCACTTCCGTCAGCTGGCGCGTGAGCTTAGTTTGCTTAGAATTCTGCCCAAGCCACCTATACACAAGAGTATCAGTCGTCGGCAGTACTCGATACCGTACGCAGTGACATACTGGGGGAAGGACGTCGCATTCGGCCCGCCATATCCTGAGCCGCCACCGTAAAGGAGTGATGCAGGCCGGACAGTTGAACAAATGGCATGTAGGGGCATCAATGACCAATATTGCTCAGGCCTGATAATTAAAGAGCGGTGTCAGCGAGATCCTCATCGGATGAAATAGTCAGAGCTGACCCATGTATCTGAGCATCAACAATGTCCCCGTCCGATATCGAAGCAGCAGCCTTGTCCATGAGCTCCAACTGTTTTATAACCTTCTCCGGTCCCTCGAGCGATCGGATTTTCGCGGGTTGTGTTTTGAGGTAGTTCTCCTGCTCAGCATATGAATTCATCCTCACCAGGATCCGGCAGGTATCACTGACCTGGATGAACAACGGTACGAATGAGAAGTCGTGGAAGTACAGCTCGATCTTGTCATTGAGGGTCTCGCGAGAGGTCGCGGAGAACATATACGGTCCGAGCATCCTATGCGTTATATCGAATGGAGTCATGATTGAGTATTTCTCGTTCGCTTTGGCGCTGCAAGGCAAGCAAGCAGTCATCAGTATACGCCGCCCACCAGTATGAATAGAAGACTGACAGCCTTTTGCCTTCGTCAAAGTCCATTGCACTACTTGACAGCTTCCACGTAGAAAGCATGTTAAGCACCTGACGGATATCAGACTGAGCGCCTTCGATGAGTTGGTCGATGACGTTGGCTGGAATCTTCATTTTCTCTCTATTGGACATCCAATCAGACACTGGTGAACATTGCAGAACGATAGACCTTACTTGAAGGCTATCGAGAGTATTCTTGATCGGACAGCGTTCGCCTCTGGCCTGTTCGGCGAAATGAGTGTGCGCCGCGGATGTTAATCATCCACCTTACCTCCTGAAAGCCAAGCTATACGCGACATTGATGAGAGGTTTGAGCTTCATTGCGCCTCGATCATTCGCGATACAGATGATCGGGATCTACATGTACAGGAGGGAACCTGAATGTGCGAGGCCAGAGTGCTTCACAACAAACACGTACCCTTGTCTTCCTGATCAGTGCAGCTAATGCACCGACACCGCCTCTGTCTCCTGCGGACATCCCATCAACCTCATCCATGATGAGGCAAGACTTGTCCGTGAGAGGAATGCCAACGGCATTAGTCGCCTGCAAACAAATCTCAATATTATACACGATTGGTATAGAGTTCGAGGTATGCATACGTGTTCTCCGTGCATCCACCCATCGAGCGATGTATTGGCAATATTCGTGCTGTTCTAATATTACCCATAATGTCAGCGAGCATGATGCACGAGTTTAGCAAGACGCTCACTTCTACGAGCTTTTTGCTCCTTGAGTCACTTGCGTTCAGCTCAATAGGCGTGAACCCCTCAAGCTTGGCACACAAGTGAGCGCTCGTGGTTTTACCGATCCCAGGAGGGCCTGTGATCAGCACGGCACGATACACACCCATACCATCCTTGCCTGGCTTCTTGAAGCCGGAATGAAGGTTGGACGACCTGGGGCATGTCAGAATGTTACTGACAGGCAATATGGCGTTGCAAAATACCAGTCATGCAGCCAACGCTGCAGCTTCTCGACTTGTCCCTTATTCCCGCAGACCTCCTTAAGCGTCTGCGGCGCGTACCGGTCCGTCCAGAGTTGGTTCGCCGCATCAGGTTTCGAGCTGAAAGACAGTGAGCAGCCTGACTGAAGCAAAGTACGCGAGATGTACCCGGAGCCACTCGCCATGCTCTCCTTCATCGCTTTCTTCTCCCGCTTCTCCATCTCCGCTGCTGCTTCACGAATTGCTTCCTTCTCTTTCGCGAGCTTCTTCTTCGTCTTCTCGTCCAGCTGACTTAGGTCAGGCACGCGTGTCGCGATGAGGTTCAAGAAGCCATCCTCGTCCAGTGTCTTCAGATTGTTTTTCTTGATCGCGGCCAGCTTGCTCGGGCCCGCATCAGTCCCTACCACGACGTATGAAGTCTTTGACGAGGGCTGCCCAGTGACACGTCTAAAAGCAATGTCATTTCGAGCTTCACCAAAAATTACTCGTAGCGGGTGCAACTTACCCTCCATGGCGTTTGGCCAGTTCTACAGCCTCATCGCGAGAGAGGCTCGTCAACTCGCCCGTAAACACGAACGACAGACCTGCAAGACAATCAGGTGCAGCCGCTTGCGGTATGGGCTTCGAGCCTGGCGCGATTGGGCCAGCTGCCTTGGCCGCTTTCGCAGCGTACCAGCTGTTCGATCGGTGTGAGACATGAGGAAGGCTATCCAACAAGGACAATGACGCACTTAAATTTCTTTGGCTGCTCCTCACCGGCAGGCTTAGATTTGGCGTCAGCATGACCATGCGCTTTCTCAGCTTTCGCGTGCGGTTTTGCATGAACCTTCTTAAATGCCCCCTTACTCTTGCCGCTGCCTTTCCTGGGCTTCTGCTCTTCCTCGTCTACGTCTTCACCTTCAAAATCATCTGCCTCTGACTCTGAGTCAGACACAATAAATTCGTCGTCCTTGCTCCTTTTCTTCCTCGTGGCTTTTTTGCGGGGAGTCGACTCCTTGGGCTTCGGATGGGTCTTCGCGGCGGATGTGCTGTGGCTCGCCTTGGATGATGACGCCGCGGCTATTGCAGCTTTCTTCCTTGGCGGAGAAGCGATCTTGATGTCCTCGTCTTCATCATCGCTAGATAGCAAGATGGCTTTCTTACGCTTGACGGAGCGACGTGGCTTATCATCTTCGTCGTCGTCGATCTCCATCACTCGGTCACTTTTCAGCTTGAATGTCATACTTTAGAAGAATCTATCCTAAAATGTCTCATCAACTCACAACAGGTGCTTTCTTCGCCTTGGAGCTACGTAAATGAGGAAAAGTGAGCGACCATCGGATAGGCTCCGATGACAATCTGTAGACTCACGATGTGGCCGTTTTCGCGGAAGGCCTGTTGACTACTTAACAATGTGGGATTATTGGTATACGGCGGCAACTCACCTTGGGTCATCTTCGTCACCTGCCGGACAAGCAGCGAGCATGAACATGTCAACGAACAGTACTACCGACGAGCAGACGTACTGATCTCTATGGGCTTGGAGTTGCCGGTTCCTGAGCTGCCTTTCTATTCAAGCCACAGAAACGTCAACCAAAGTCCTCGGAGAGGTGAGGTGCACCCCAAGGCTCAGACAACATACGGAGGCGTTCGATCGTTGTGTTGAGTTGGACTCGACCGGTGTCGTCTGGCTGCTCCCACCGAAGAAACCTCTGATATCCTTTCCTTGGTGCTTCGCAGATACCTTTGTCTTCGCGTTTGCCATCGCGTGTGTATCTTTGTCAATTCGGCAGACACGGGTGTCGCAGTGGACCTAGTTATGGCCGGGAAAGGTGGTGAAGGCACGCTCCTTGAACAAGAAGATATTCGGATATCTCGCGATACAGATGTCAGATCTCAGAAATGACACGTCTTTATATTGATAAAGACTAGGATGAATAGCCGGGAGATGATAATCAAGTCGCAAGTGCACGCGCAGGTCCGTCAGCTTGAGCCACAGACACGGAGAGTCACACTCCGTGACAACCGACGCGTGCGCGTGATACCGCACGGTCACGCGCGTCCAGCGTGGGAAAGTTACTCAACAAGCTCCGTACGCCGCTACTATAAGCATATCGGCCTTGTCCTCGCTTTGCCAGCCTCTGGGCGCAGCCGTCGTGTTCTGTTCCTTGGAATCTCTGTTGCGTACTCGATGCTCTCAAAGCTGCCCAGTACAAAGTCCGTTTCTTGGTCCTGCGGTTGTGGAGGCGATACTGAAGCCTCTGGCAGGTTTGCAAGCGTGTACGAATCGCTTCCGGCAGATGTACAGCAAGAGCTTGTCGACAATCATTTGATACCCCTCCTAAACCATGTAGAAAAGAATCGCTCAAAAATGGTGCTCGCTCGTGCTGCGGAGCTCAAGGCGCGACATACAGGCATGCCGACCCTCGATCTCAGGTCCAAACGGATCGAAGTCAACGCACTGCTTGACGAGCTGCACAGGGATGCAAAGCGCTCGTTCGTCAAAGAACGATCGCAACGGCACGAGCTGCTAAACGAGATTGTGGATAGCCTGACTGACTGGTTGAACGATATCTGGAGTGTCGTGTATGAGCACAACGTCAACTTTGTGCAAGCGCATAAATGCCTCCTGTTCATCGCTGGGACGCTGGAACACATCAGCAGTGGGCGCTCGAGGTACGCGGCTAGGCGTTCGTGTTACAGACTGACCCATGTATGCGCAGCTGCAAGTGCTCATTTACGAACATGTATGTTAACGTGACGCTCAAGGCAAAATCTGGCAAGCGCGTAAAGACGTTCGAGCTGAACGGTGCACAAAACATCGACATGATCCTGCAGTTCATCTGGCGAGACCTCTTCCTCAGCATGCTCGCGACGAATGGCCCGCGGCACATTGGGCAGATCCCGAGTATGCTGGACGACATCGAGGAGCTGCTGGGTTGGAGGGCCCTCGAACGCGTACTATACGGCGGCAGGAAATGTTAGTCGCCCACCGTGTCACGTCGTGCATTCCTCTTGACCTTCCATTAGGCCCACATGACGTTGATGACGAGGAAGATGAAAGTGAATGGGAATCAGCGTCAATGTTTGAGTCGGATTTGGACGACAGAGACGAGGGTGACGACGAGGACGAAGATGAGTATGACTATGATGAGGTCTTTGACGACATGGTCGATGGCCCGACACGTGCCAGACACTGGTCCTCTCGCATCAGCAATCAAATGTCAAAGCTACGAGAGCATATTCAGGATGTGTTGATGGCGATATTCAAGGTGGCTCCCTCGCGGTCACTATACCAAGCGCTCTCCATAATGTCAACCACGCCCGATTTGATGGATTCGCAGCTTCTGGCGCGTCTTCATGCAGTCGCAGCAAGCTGCTCGGAGACGTTCGTCGCGGCGCTGGACATCTACTCGTACGTCGAGGACTCGGAAGCGATCATCGATCTGCTCGACCATTACCCACACCTCCTACGGCCGCGCGATGCGCTCACGCTGCAGGGCGCCGTATCCGTGCTTGGGCGGAGCGCCTTCTACCAGCAACGCGCGCTGCAGATTATCGAAAAGGAGCTGCTGAACACCGCACGTGAGCTGGGTGCCGCGCTCCTCTCCTCATTCTCCCAGCTCGACGCCCCCGCGAACCAGGCTGAGCTTCAACAGATCCTCAAGCTGCGCCACGCCGCGCCGGGCAGGCACGACCGCATCGAGGAGTGGGTCGATGCCGTGTCGACGCCTGGGCAGAACACGCCCGGCCCGATGGCGTTCGCAGCGATGATGATGGGCTTGCCCGTACCCAATATGGATGCCGCAGAGGAGGCGGACCCGCTCGGGTACCTCGACTTTGATCCCACTGATCCGGACCTTGAGGACATACGGGAAGAGTTCCGGCCGAAACTGAAGCAGCGGATTGAGGGCTGGACGACTAGTGCACTCCTCATCAAGAACGGGCAGGCTGTCTTGGTTGCGGTCGTTTCAGAAGTGAACGACATGATGCCGTTCTTGCAGGCGAGGGACATCGTGGATGAAATAGTCGGCAGGTGAGTGCGCGAGCGCATGCTGGATGTTGGAGTGTGTCGGTTCTGACCACCATGTTCAGACTTGCGGATAGGCCGAGCAAGCACTTCGTCTGTGACGGGCTCGATGCGCTCATGCAGTTCGTCAAGCATCATCGGAAGATGGCGCCTGTCAAATCAAGCTCCCGACAACGAAAGACCGCTGCAGGCCCCTCGGCTGGCGGCTTCACCCCGCCCGTGCTCGCTGAACCAAGTAGTCTCGATGATGTTGACTGATTGACACGATGGACTTCCGCACCTGTGCTTAGAGTATTATAATATCGTTGTAGCTATATTGTCCGCTTGTTACAGTTCGTCTTACTGGTCCTCGTTGGAGAAAAGCATCCTTTATTTATGACATGAATCACTTGTACTCAACAATATGCAAACCGCTCCTACATATCGATGTCCCTGTTGATTCCGAGCAAACAGTACGCCGTTGCTGACGAACCTTCTGTTCTAGGTGCGGTCATTAAGGGAAGGGTTTGATGACCGAGTAATTAAAGCACTTCTTCGCCGGTGAGGAAGCGCTTTTCCGTTTTTTTAAATAAATTTCTGCTTTGAGCTGCAGCTCGATTGTTGGCAGCAGGCGACGGCGGAAATGCAAGTGAGCATGCGAACGTTTGTGAGGTTTGGTTTAGCATTCATGCAAAACGTAAACAGCCCGGATCGCAGTCGACTCTGTCCCTCGCGCCTATTAATGTGTTGATCTGACGCTTCACAACGTTCCGCGACATTGCCATCCACTGGGCTTACATTGCCTTGCCATATCTCCCGCAGCAACAGTATGCCAGGAAGAATCGGTAGTGTTTAATCAATCAAGTGCCAGCTCGATCATACAGCTACTACCGACTGTTACTATCATACAACGAAGACCGTTACCGACAGAGACGCAATTCCAAGTGGAAGCGATTCCGACGGGCGCATTTGATCTCGACTGGCAGTGCACGAGAAGTAACTGAAGGCGGCCGGTTTCAAGCCGTTTCTTGTGCATAATCCAGTCGGTCCTGCATCGCAATGCGAGCATCTGAGGCCCTGGGCTAGTATTTGTTTACGACGTCTTTGAGACGTCGTTGGTGAGGTGCTTCGCGATCAACATTATCGTCTGTTTTCCAGATGTCCACTATAACGCAGGATTGGAGTTCAGAAAGACTGCCGGCAATGCGCTTCTTTTCTGAGCTCGCAGACTGTGTCCATTGCCGTCCATCAGTTGTTCGTAGACTTTGGCGTTCCGTTTGCGAGTCGCTTCAGAACGCTGCTTCTTCTATCAGTCGTCAAAGAGGTAAGAACGGGTTGATCGCTTATGGGACGCACCTGTATGACAGCGAGATACACGTTGTCAACGCTGGACAGTAAGCGATCAACAGCCTTCCCCGCGTGGCCCCGTGTTGTTTTTTTACGTACAGCTTACCGGCGTGTGCATTTATGCCGATCATTCGAGTTTTCATCCTCGCTCAACACGAAATGATCGAGGTCTATTCAGTTTGTGACGTGCTAGGACGACCGCGTGGATGCGATATCTTAGAAGCTGAGCGAGATCTACATCATGCGAATTTGAGCATCAAATAGAGCAAGACTCTAGTCTGGATGTAGACACTATCCGTTGCCGTGCCGAGCAGGAGGAGGGAGCGCGAGCTACATGTTTCGCGAGGCCGGTGCTATGAACAGAGTAGATTATAGTGATAATCAGACTTGCTAGAAGTCCGCACAGCCTCCAAATGTGCAGGATCGTAGCATCCGAAGATCAGGGTAAAGTGAACGTTTCAGACAAACGTGTGTCGGAAAGCAGTCAGATTGAATCCGGGAAGACCACAGTGTCAACTCGTCTGAACATTACGATACAAAGGGGCGAAGAAGCGGAGAAGAAGTAGTTGTGTGTATTCTTGAGGTCACCATGAGGTCAGAGAGGTCAAAATGTTGCGCAGATCAGACGAGGTGAAGATCGAGAGTAGTTTCGTGGCTATACCAACGCGTGTTTGACATCATGTCGATCAGTTTGCCGTCTCGGTATACGGCATGAACTTGTGACAAAACGCGCCAGGAGTTTACGAACGAACGGTACCCGAGAACGTTGCAGAGTCCGCGTTGTGATGCAAGCAGGCCACCAAGACCAAGTGCCTCATGGCAAACTAGAATAGCGCAGCACAAGCAAGTGAGTACTGGCTCGGCATCCGACGCTAGTTCATCTGAGAGGGTTGCATCAAGCAGCACTGAAGTGACCACATTGCATCCTGGAGGCGTTCGCATGGGCTGCGGCCTGGCCGGCATGGCGCCACAAACCAAACAGTATCATTAATTCGTTTGCTGTGGTTACCGAATTCAATACACGGCTAAGACCCGTCTATTGAGTTATCATCAAAGCCATCATTAGGATAGCATACGATGATAACCCCTCCTGCCCGGGGATCACCAGGCACTGACGGCTTCGCATCCTGCCTCGTGCATCGTCGAAGACAGACACACGCGATTCAGCTGCGACATCCTGCTCCTTGGCTTTCTGTTCGAAGACATCATGCGTTCATCTGGGAAAATGACTGCACGTAATCTCTTCCAAGTTCACGCACTGGATTCGGAAGACAAGGCGCGACACACGACTCGAGAGGTCGCCGACAGCGAGTAGGACTATGCGAACGGCTCGCTCGACCATCCTTTTAGCTCGGCTCGATGGACATGACCAAAGGAATAAGGGATTGATTTCTGTCCGTGAAGAGATTAGCGGAACCACAGAGCCGGACCGAATCGTGCCTGTTTAGCGGTAATCAGCCTCGAGGCAGCCATGACTTGCCTTACCTGGTCTTCACCTCGTTGTATACCAGGGCGATGCCTCTGACTTTGCAGACCCGTCGCCACGTTGGAAACGCGAGCACAATGATGAACCTTTGAAAGCACCGTCTCGCGTCCAAGCTCCAAGTTCGTCTTTCCCTTGCTGCACTCCCTGTTTCCCCTCTCCTCTCCCAGTACACTTGAACCAACCTGGATTATGACTAGTCAATCGCCGCAGCGCAATAGGGTACCAACGATGCAGGGTAGGTGTTGACTTTTTGAGCCCGCTTCCTTTTCTCGGTATCAGGGCCCACGTTCAAGATCGTATTACCGCTTCCGATGATGCTCTCGCGATTCACTTGAAGGTGAAGAGGTGAAGCGCGGGACCGTACTTTGTGATGGTGCTAGTGCGCTTGTCTCTGCTCTGTAGATCTGGGCTGTGGGCATTTACGTTGAGAGTATGGTAAAATGCGCCGGGGTTGAGCGCGATAACGCGTCGCCTCCGTGCTCCCTCCACGACCGTACGGCTCTTGTGACCTGATCCTGAGTTCATTTAAACTTTTCTATATAGGCTCGAATTCAAACACTACGCCCCGCGATTCAACTCCTTCTCCCTCGTTACGTGAGAGGCAACGCGCGATCAAGGCGCATTCTCTGCCAGTCGTGCCCTCCGTGAGCCAAATACTCTCCAACCAGAATCAACAGCCGATCTACGCACAAGGCCAACAGCCTAGCCCGACGACGTCCAATTCCTCCCTCCAGTCACGCAGATCTCCCCCACCGACATCGCGGATCTCCCCCACAACTGGCAAAATGTCCGTTGCCACCCACCCTCGTGAGCGATCTCCGGATAGGATAAGCACTCCTCCCGCTCTCGTACATTCTCACAGCCAGCCAGTGCTTCCGCAACTCATACCGCTTCCTCCGCCCGGGCCACAACACGCTCTTAGCCAGCCCAACGTCCTCCCGCCGACGGCTCAGAACCCATTCCACCCACGACCGATACCACGCGGGCCACCGCCGCCGTTCCTCACGCAGTACCAGGGCACAGAAGAGCAGTGGCAAATGACGGAGCAGCTGATGGCGGAGATCGAGCGTGCGGATCTCCAGCAGACCCAGGGCCAGTTCTCCCATCCCGCCGGTACGTCCGGAGTTGCGTACGCTGGTGGTGCAGCATCGAACGGGCTGGGCATACATCTGCTTAACACGATGAACCCATCAGCGAAGGACCCCGCCGTGGAGCGTGTGCGTGGGAGCGACCGCGCGAGCCCAAAGGAGCAGGACGCAAAGCGGCAGAAAGACGCGCAGCCCGCGCGCGAGAGCCCAAAGACGCGGGACCGCTCGCAGACGATGTCCTCACTCGAAGGCCACCCCTCGACGACGCGCACACCAGAATACCGCGGATCACCGCAGTATCAGACGCCGATGGCGTCACCTGGTGAACGTACCGCTGCCTATGGCCAGTATATCCAAGAAGGGTACCAGACTGGACCCGCGCAGGGTGCCACGCCCGCTTCTGTCCCTGT